ATAGTTTCTAGTCTGACAACAAAATGCTACGTATCATTGGATTTAGAAGTGGATTAAAGAGTGGGGAAAAGGTGCCCTTTTGTTTCAGATATTGCACTAAATCTGGTAGTATCTTCACTTACACAATGGTTAAGATGTAATGATTTCTTCGGAGAGAACCTTTATTCAGTCTTCTCATTCATTGCAATGAGAAAAATTTGCTAATTACATATCAATTATCATTGATCAAAGGGAAAGGATTTTTTTGGCATGCTTTTTCACATTTTGGCATTTATAGTGGTATGCTGGTAAAAATTTAATTACGAGTCCCCCCCCCAGAAACAAACCCCTAATTTATAGTGTTTGCCAATTTCTGTAGTGTAAACACTCCCGCCATGACAGATTTCAACTATCAAAACTATGTCACTGGACATGTAACTGGGAAGTTGTGAACACAGTTAGCTCTTGCACGCTGGTATCGATTGGCTCCAGAAAATCACTGGTTCTGATTTTATAACTGGTCATCACCCAAGGTTTTTTTTTTTCTTTTCTTTTTTTTTAAACATTTGAACCTTCTGCTACTACTCATGTCTATCCACTAAATTTTCTTTTCAAATGAATTGTGGTTTGTTACTGCAAACACGTTAAATCAGTAGAGCACTTAGAAGACTGCAATTATTTTTACTTTCTTCCAGTCAATCAGGTTTCAGTGCTGAGTTTCTTTCATAGTTAGTACCCTCCTATTCATTCCTTTGCTACTTTGTTTATTATGAAATGACATTTCCTGTGAGTCCATAAATGAAAATGTTTGAGTGTGTGCTCTAAGTGGCTTTTAATTCATGTCAATTTAGAAACTCAGAATTATTTAATGTAGTTCTAACCGTTCTAAGGTTAGCAATTAGCACTTTAATTTGTGCAAATGGCACTGAAAATGCTGTATCAAAACAAGACTATTTCCCTTAACAAGAAAACCTTTAAGAAAGTTTAAAAAATCAGTGACAATTTGAACAGTACTACTTTTTCACCAAGAGAGAGCAACATAAGCACACTTTACAAAAATACATTTCCATGGCCATTTTACACCGTAAGTGGTGGCATCATGTCCATGCTTTATTTAGGAACCTATTACTTTACCTGCCTCTGAACTTGACAGACCAAGTGCAGTGATTAGTTAGGAGTATGGCAGTTGATGATGCATTCTGTAAGGATCATATTTTTACCTCTAGGTATTTTCTATGCACAACATGTTTCTTCTTTATGATTTCACTTATCCATGTTTATGAGTTTCTGAATATTGGCATTGTTTTCCCTGTCAGAAATGGTTTTCAACAGGATCTACTCTCTCCAACTGATATAATGAAGATAAGTAAAACTGGGGTTTTAAATTGTATAAGTGGTGGATTTTTAATTTTTATATTGTTTCAACATAAGCAAGATGCATCATATCTAACTTTAAGAGAACTGGTATGTCTGGAGATTTCCTTTAGGAAGATGTTAGTACTATTAAGTGAGCTTGCAAATATGAATAAAAACAGATGACCCTTGACCATAAAACGGAAGTATGAAGATTTCACCAATAAAGTATGTACTTTCAAAGAATTAATTATGATGCACTTTAAAATTGTATGCTAGATTCTGTGGCTTAAAGTTTTACCTTACGTATTTTAGGGACACCATTTCCTCTCAAGGTTTTCATACTTCAGTAAAACACAGTGTCTTTAGATTACAGTAACTAAATATTAAACTTATATTGCTTCCATATAACAGCAGGAGTACCTGAAAAACATATCAGTTAAAACTCAATAAGGCCAAATCTTAAAAATGCCAGTGACAAATGATTTATTATACTTATTACATTCATGTTTTATGGATCTTTAGATACTCGTCAACCTCTGGGGGGTCATTTACCAGGGTGAGGGCAGAAAAAGAAAAAAAAACAAGGTCATGGCTACAAATAAATGTATTAATTCTGTGCTTTTAGGAAAGTTATTTTCATGTGATTTTAAATTCAGAAAATTTTTAAAAATTAAAATACATCTGAGGCATTTATTTGTAAGAGGTTTATTTTTAGAAGTCTTTATAGGAAGAAGGTTGTGGATTTAAAAAATTCCGTGTAAATATTTGCCTGCTTTCTGTAGCTTGCTCTCAGGAATCCTGACGGGCATAAGTTAGGAATATTAATGCCACAAGGAGGCGTTGCCTTGTGTCTTTGTACCCTTGAGGTCTGGTGCTGCTCTTGTCCTTTCAATATTTAGTTTTGAAAAAACAGTAATTATATCTAAGACCTTGGGTCTAATTCTATGCCTGACATAGTTACCTCAGAATATAATGAATTTTATGTATTCATTATGCCACCTACCTTTTTTTTAATGCATCCCTAGATCTTTTTCAAGATCCCTAGGTCCTTAGATTAAAGCATCCCTGTATATCAAATATATATACAGTTAATGGATATATGTATATACCAGTATATGTATATATTTGATAACTAAAATAACCGTATAACTGACAAAGTCATGATTTTATAAGTATATTTTAGGAATTACTCTAGATATTTTAAAAAATTCACTTCACAAAAAAATTTCACTTCAGAGTTCCTTTACACAGAATGCCCCCTTAAAGAATTTACACTATACATTACATGAAAGAAATCTTGAGTTACAGACTTGGCAAGAAAGGCTCAATCAATCAAGCAATCAAACAGGTATATACTGAGCACATACTGTGTTCCAGGCACTCTTGTAAGAATGAGACGTCCCGGTGGAAAAATATCTCTGCGAACGAAAGAACATTCCATTCAAAGGTCCTGGAATGGTGCAAGATGGTATGCTGAAGGAACAGAGAAAGGCCAGTGGCTGGCCTGTAATGAATCAGGGAGGCTGGTACAGATGAGGATGGAGGGGAAAAAGAAGCAATTCACACAGGGCTTTCTAGACCATGGTGTGGACTCTGATTTTAAGTTCAGTGGGAAGCCACTGGAAGTTTTAAGCAGCGGAGCAATGCTGCTATGCCTTTTAAGAAAGATAATTCACACTCCTATATGGAAAATGGGTTGTAGTGTGGCAAGAGTGAATAGAAGTACATCAGTTGGAAGGCTACTAATGTTGTTGAAGGAAGAAGTGATGGTAGTTTTGATTAGAGTAGGAAAGAGGAGGTGAAGAAAACTGGAACGATTTGGAATCTATATGGAACACAGAGCAGGTGAGACCTGCTCGTGTTGGGAGTCAGTAAAGGGAAGAAGCAGGATGTTTTAAGATTTAAAAAAAACTTTTTTAATGTTTGTTTTAGAGAGAGAGAGAGAGAGACAGGGTGTGAGCAGGGAATGGGCAGAGAGGGAGGGAGACACAGAGTCTGAAGCAGGCTCTGGGCTCTGAGCTGTCAGCACAGAGCTGGACGCGGGGCTCGAACTCACAAACCCTGAGATCATGACCTGATCGGAAATTGGACGTTTACCTGACCAAGCCATCCAAACGCCCCTGGATGTTTTTAGATTTTTTTTTTTTTTAACATCTGAGTGCTGTTTATTGACATGGGGAGGAACAGTTATGTGAGGGTTAGAGAATATAGAATTCAGTCTGGGACATGTTAAATGTGATATTCAAGTAGGGGTATTGAGAAGATGGTTGAATATAAAACAGCTACTATTATCATCTCCGTTTTCAGGGAGAAGTGAGGCATAGGAAGGTTAAGCAGTTAGCCCAATGTCACAAGCTTAGTTTAGTCAGTGGAGCTGAGATCAGAATCCAGGAAGCCTGGCTAACCCAGAGTCTAGACTTTTAGCTACTACCCTGTCATTCTGGCACACAGGGTTGGAGATACTTAAAACACTGGTGTTGGATTGGGCTCACTTGGGAAGAGAAGTTAGGAAGAGAGTAGAAAGACACACCACCATGCCTGTGTACTCTTGCATAAGATTTGGCGAAGGAGATAAGAGAGACGGAAAAATGGGTCTCCATTTTTGGCTCATAGGAGCCCAGAGGAGGGGTTATTTCAAGGAGATGAACGCTCCATAGAAGTGGAGGAAGGTAAGGAGAGAGGTGGATTGGTTAACATGGGGCTTTTTGTGACCATCACAAGAACAGTCTGAATGGATGGGGAAGAGAGCCTGTTGAAATGAGGTTAAACATACTCTGAGAAACACAAGCACCGGCACGGCTCTGAGAAGCATCTCATGCTGCCATATATGTGTAATGTAGACAGCGAATTGCATTGGAGAGGATGGACTCTGGAGTCAGACAGACCTGAGCGTTGATTCACAGTCTAATACTATTGTTCTGCCATATTAAGCCCCCCCGACCCCGTTTTTTTATCTGTAACATTTGTTTCATGCAATTCTTGGAATAAGCTGTTTACTTCCCTGCTTTTCCTTTCGTAAAATGCTATTCCCTTCACCTGAAACCTGTTGAAATCTCTACCTGCCCCTAACATTCTCTTGAAAAAAGACCTCAGTCCTTTATGTTACGGCTGATAGGTCTTTCTAAAGTTGCATGAAAACTTTTTTTGCGATTATTCACATACTTTCCTCCTATTGTGTGCTCATTAGTTAAAACAAGTTTCCTCTCGGGGCGCCTGGGTGGCTTAGTCGGTTAAGCGTCCGACTTTCGCTTGGGTCATGATCTCGCGGTTCGTGGGTTCGAGCCCCACGTCGGGCTCTGTGCTGACTGCCAGCTCAGAGCCTGGAGCCTGTTTCAGTCTGTGACTCCCTCTCTCTCTGACCCTCCCCTGCTCACGCTGTCTCTCTCTCTCTCTCTCTCCTAGAAATAAATAAAACATTAAAAAAAAAAACAAGTTTCCTCTCTTCGCCTTTTGTATCTGTAACACCTATCAGATTGTGTGGCACAGAGTATGCACTCAGTCGTCGGCTGTGTGAGTTCGCCGGAAGCCAGCACCCACCAGGGTGGGGGGAAGGAGGGAGCAGCGAAGGGAGCTCCCACGGCTGGAGGCAGCCGCGCAAGCGCACAATTCACTACCAGCTTCAACTCAGGAATGCAGGCAGGCGACGAAAGAGCCTTGAAACTTACCCTCACAGGATCCAGGGAGAAGGCAGCTGTGAGGACAAAGGATGGAAGGTCCTCACAGAGAGAATTCAGGCCTGTTTATGTGGCCTCAGAGAAACGGGGAGCTGCCGCAGCCCTCAGCCGGAGTTCACAAGCAGATTGGAGGTGAAATTTCCAGGAAAATGAGTTTGAGCTAAGGCTAAGACTTAATAATAAAGAATCCCTAGGGGCGCCTGGGTGGCTCAGTCATTTGAGGTTTGGACTTCGGTTCAGGTCAAAGGTAAAGGTCAAGACCTTAGGGTTTGTGAGATCAAGCCTTCCCCCCACCCCCCACAAGGCTTTGTGCTCACAGCACGGAACCTGCTTAGGAGTCTCTGTCTCTCTCGTTTTGCCCCTCCCCCTCTCAGGCGCGGGTGCGCAAGAGCTCTTTCAAAAGTAAATACAAACATTAAAGAGAAAAAGAGTCCCAAAATAAGAATGAATGAAGTGAATAATTTGATTTTAGAATGTTGGAGTTTCATAAACTAGGGTGCGACTAACATACTTGTGAAATTTGATTTTATTTTGTACCGGAGAGTTAATTATACAGGGGCATGAAGTGGAGTAAAACGGTGATTGAGCCAGATTTGTTCATATGCTCTTTTCTGGGTATTACAGAGTTTTTCTTTCTGTTCGTAATCCATCCATTTCCTGATTTCTTTTTAAGGGCATTTCTTATTGCTCTCAAATTAAATCGCTTTATCCTGGCTCACATACTATGAAGATAAAGAAATCGGGTCAAGCCTAATGAAACTCAGACTAGGACTTTTGCTATCAGACAATAAGAAATGAGAAATGAATGTAATCATCCCTCTATTATTTATGGGTTTTTATTATTATCATTGTATTTCATAGGGACTGGTTTGGGATAAAATCTAAGCATATACATGTATACGTATACATATACGCATATACAGACATACACACAGAAAAACCTCAAAGCTGTAAGTTCAGAAGATAGACAATGTGTTTTTCTGTCAAGTTCTACTGACATGGAGAGGGTGAAAGTCATATAAGGGCTACATAAATAATAACGAAAAATTAAGTATAAAAATTGAACTTTAAGATTGCAAAAATCTAACAAGTCTAACAAATAAGATGCACCTTCAGTTAACTCATCCAAGAAAAGAGAATAAATCTGAAGAAGTTTGAGGTGGAGAGGGAGAGAATCAGGAAAAGAAATAGGCCTTAGACATCATACAGATGAGAAAGGGAGGGAGAATCAGATTTCCCCTCATATACAGTGACCTAAGTATGAATGCAAATTTTCACATGCACACTCTCTTTATCTAGAGAAATTGCATAGAAAAAAATAAAAAAAGAATGCCACACAAAGACACCAAATAAAAGAGATTATAAACTTCCTAAAGGCAAGGACTGTTTCCTATTTATCTTTGTGTTCTCAGCTTCTAGCACACCAAAGCAGGATTTTGTAAATGTTTGTTAAATTGTTGAAAAGACAGAAAATGATTTTATTGAGTACCATCCCATCTTATACACTACAAAGCACCTTGCAACTACAGGCATAAATAGATTATATAAACTGTACTCACTCCTCCAATGACTGTAAGAAATTAACTGAATGTTGAAGGTTTTCCACCTATGCTTCAGCCTGTAGGTATGGAAAGCAATGGAAGGTAGCAGTTATGACTTGGGATTGTTGAGGTCAGCATTGATAGGTTCTGAAATGGTCAATACAAATTCATTTCAAAAGACCTTATGGAAAATTTCTCTGAGGCTGAATGGCATACATGCTTGTGAATATCTAGAGAAATGTGGAATGCACTATCAATGTTTTCCAGGACCTGGTAAATTTTAGGTATTTAATTTTGAAAATGGAGTATTACCAAGTTCAGTATATCGTGTCTCTAAATACCTGTATGGACTTGACTTTGGAATTCCTTATAGCCATACCACTTCTACATATTTTCCTTCTTCTTGGTTTTCTTTTGATAAGCCAAGACACCTATTTGACACCCATTTAACTTCTAGAAAAGAATTGAAGTATTCTTATTACACTGGTCTTAATATATGAAACCAAGGGAGAAATTGATTTGAAGCCTAGCTCCCCAGGAAAGCACATTTTTCCACTTGTTCAGGTGGTGAAAGGGGTTGTGATAGCTGATGTGAATAACTTGTGGTACGTGGGATGGAAACTTACCTTTCCTTATTCTGCTTTTTCCAAATTGACAGGTTTTATTTTTGTTGTTATTATGCTTTTCTACTAGGTAAGCTGTGATTTATTGTTTTAAGGTGTGTTTAGACCTAATCTTAAGAGAAACGATATATAACTGTGGAGTTCTGGCATGGGGGTGCTGCTAGGGGCAGTGGGTGAAAATAGTCATTTAATATAATCCGTATGAAGAAGTTGAGGGCTGGTGGCCTCTCCTTTTACTGGAATACTATCACTTGAAAACTCTGGGGTGCTGTGTTGGGACTTTCAAGTGTCCTGAGCTGCTGAAGGGTCAGTGGGAGGGGGTATATTAGGTACAAAGGATGATTCAGTATGGGACTAAACATAAAGGCAAGATCACCAGGTGATAAATAGACTTCAGTGCATAGAAAGTTCCCAGATGGTAATGGAAAGAAGTGCTGATGGAATTTCTCAGCATAAGTGATGTGCAGTGGTCCATTGAACACTCTTAGAATAGACATAGGACAATAACATGCTACTCTGTGCCTCTCTGGTGCTGGTAAAATATGGCTTTAGATCTGGCAAAGGCTGGGCAGTTTCTGGGTGCACTATGTTTTTCCTCCAGGCTCAGGCCCCATCCTGGGCCTCATTGGTCTCTCCTGTTAGTCATATTCTCCTCTTCCAGCCCTCTGAATCCTTATCTCCTCTGGAGTGCTGTAACCAAGCTCTCTTTTGGTCTTCCTAATTAGTGTTTATGGCTTAAACTTTATGTCCTGAGCTTCTTCCATGCTTTGCCTTTTTATTCCTTATTCCTTGCCCAATTCCCCAAACCATGCTTTCTGAGTTAAAAAATATATAGTTCTTTTTTTTTTTTTGCAAAATAGCCTGGTTCTTGCAAGGAAAATCTTTAGCCGTCAACACTATTGTCTCTTCTATCAGTTTCACAAATGTACTTTAAAATTTAAAAACTGAGCATCAACTGTTTCTTTTCTTTCTCTTTTCATTCCTGTTATAACAAGGCTGATCTCCCAGAGACAAAGAAGGCTCTGCCTTATTGAGTGATGGGTGCATTAGGATTTCATATGTAGCCACCTGTGCAGAGAGAGGGGCAGCATTCAGGGAGGCCTCTGCTCCTATCATCTGGTGTCATACAAATATGTATTTTCCATAGTACAAGGCTCAGAGTACCAGGCTCTGACTGCTTTGAGGGGACTTGTGCGTGCATGTGCGTGTGTGTGTGTGTGGTAAAGAGTTACGGGGAAAGGGACCACATCAGTGTATTAGGGGCTTGTAGTAGCCACAAGACCCTGAAAGAAAGATAATGTGAACATCCAGATGGTATATAGTCAGGAATAGTCAACACAGAGCTAGAATCAGCACCACCTAAGTGAAAATGTTTTGTCCCTTTCTCTAGATATTCCTAGTTCCGCTTTTGACTCTAGCAAAGCCACAAGTAGGTGGAGAGGAAAAGAGACTGTGCCCAGTTTCTCCTCAAAAGGAGCCTGGCATCAGGTTGGGCCTGAGTTTGTTGGGGGAGGGGAGAAGTTTTGAATGAGATGTGAGATTAAAGCCTTAAATTTAAGCGAGCCTTCTGCTGCCTCAAAGTGAGTCATAATTACTGACACGAGAATAATTTTTGTTGTTGATGAAAATGACCAAAAAGCTCTGGAGCTGCCTGAGATGTCATGAAGGTATGAGAGAAGGGAATCTGACATGTTGGAAGGCAGTGGTAGGAGGAAAATACAGCTGCTTCCTGTTTGTACTCATTATGTTCAGTCCTTTTCAATAAACTGGTTACACATCTATTGATTCTTATGTAGTTCTACAGTGACTAATAGCAACACACACTGCATCTCAATAGCACAGGAGCTAAAAGACAGAGAACCATAGAAAGAGCATGGAAAGGTTCTGATTTCTCAGCCTCTGGAGAGGGATGAATGAGCTGGTCAGTGAGTCTGTGTGTGTGTGTGCCTGGAACCCAGAACTCTCTCCTTCTCAAGTTCCAGGCTGCATTTGTCAACATTCTCTTTTTAACCTCTGTCTCAGCCTAGGTTTTCTGATTTGCTTGGACAAGATCATCTTCACCATCACCTATGCTTGACTTCGCCATTGACAGGTCTCTTAGCTTTACCACTTGTTTAACAGGCAACCAACCTACCTGGTAGCCCTCTCTTATCTGTGGTTTTGCATTTCCTGGTTTCAGTTAATCAAGATTTTGAAGAAGATGATCTTCTTTCTGAAGAATCACCTAAAAGTCAATATACCCGACCACTGTATCACTACAATGCTTACGTCATTCACTGCACTTCATCTCATCGCATAAGCATTTTATCGTCTCACATCATCACAAGAAGGGTGAGTACATACAATATTTTGAGAAAAAGAGACCACATTCATGTAAGTTTTATTACAGTATATTGTAATAATTGTTCTATTTTATTATTTGTTATTGCTGTTCATCACTAACTGTGCATAATTGATAAATTTAATTTTATCATAGATATGCATAGATACCATAGGTATGCAACACTATGTATGTTGGTACTCTGTGGTTTCATGTATCCTCTATGGATAAGGGAGAACTACGACAAATCTATCTCTGCAACAGCCGTCCAAACACCCCTCTGCAACAGTGACTCTCATTGAACCATTTATTAATTTGTTCACAAATGTTGGTGGGCTCAGTGCAAGTGATAAAGCTCACAGCTGGACAAGGCATGCTTCTTGGTTTCTGGGCCCTCGTGGTTTAGAAAGCAACAGGTTGTATGCCATTCTAATGTAGTGTGATTGAGTGTGCTATGGAGATATGGTCAAGGTGCTGTGAAGTCTCGTGAGGTGAATAGCTAACCGCTTAGCAGGATGGAGACAGTTTGTCGAGCGGGATGTTTGAATTGGTCCTTTAAGAGTAAAATACAGGGAGGGTGGCTGGGTGGCTAAGTCGGTTAAGCAGCTGACTTCAGCTCAGGTCATGATCACACAGTTCATGGGTTTGAGCCCCGTGTCAGGCTCAGAGTCCAGAGCCTGCTTTGGATTCTGTGTCTCTCTCTGTCTGACACTCCCCCACTTACACTCTGTGTCTCTCTCTCTCAAAAATAA